GGAAAAGTCACATGGGTGAATGATGTAAGTTGGTGTTGATAGAGTCCTTTGAATGCTTGTGCTGTTGGGCACTTGTGCTGGTCATCTCAGAGCTCTTGGGAATGTTTGTGTTTAAAAATAAGTGTGGAGTGTCAGATTGTGTCTGCCTGAGAAGTGAAGGTGCACAAAGTTTTGTCTGGTGGGACAGATTATGTTTTTTTCAATGTGTCCTTCAGAAACACTGAGTGGTTTGGGGACTGTTTTTAATCTAGATTTATGAATACCTATTTCAACAGAACTATGCCCTGAATTTTACAATTTGAAATCAGATGTGTCTATGGTCAGCAGAATAGTCTAGGCTGGGGAACAAACCAGATGCAGTTTGATTGCACATGTTATGAATGATTTGGACTTGATTAAACTGATAGCCTTTATTTCTAAAGGTACAGGCTCCCCTTTGCAAAATTCTCATTACTGTGCCTAAAATACTTGTTGGTTTGATTTTCTTTTAATTTGCACCAAGCCTGTGGTTCAGGGTGAAATTCTAGAAAATCTCCACCAAAACTGAGCTCTGTTGCTGATGACTTTCCAACAGAAGTGTTTGCCTGCCTGTGAAGGCAGGATCTCCTCTCTTCAGGCAATGTTCTCCTACTGTGGTGTTTATTTTATTTTTTTTTAATGTATCAAGTCATGGAGTACACAGAATAAGTCTGTGTAGAGAAAAGTGGTGTTCAGCTCTGCATCAAGTGCAATTGCTGTATCCAGGCAGTTTCCAAGTTAAGAGGATGGAACTGAATCATCAGAGTTCTGTACTGAGCATCAGTGAAGTGGTTGCTGTGAGAAGAAAACATTTATTTGTTCTAACATTTCCTTTTTTTTCCCCTCCTGTTTAGCTTGTCTGCTCATTTGCAACTTACATTTACTGGGTTCTTCCATAAAAATGGTATGTTTGCCAATTATTCATTCCACTGTTAATTTGTATAACACCTCTGAAATTAGTGGAGATCTGTGAGGGGAATATTTGAATGTTTTTACTCTGCTGTTTGGATGCAGGTTTTAATTGACTTGTTCAGCCTGTCTCATTAGTTCTAATTCAGTAGTGCTTTAGAAATGCCGTGGTGTAATTGTGATGTTAAGAAGATAAGCCTTCAGGCTTTTAGTCAAAACAGTGATTTTGAGAAATCCTTCAAGCCATCACCCATTCAAACAGAAACAGACCTTGAGGAAAGTGATTCTTTCCCAAAGAATGTGATTTTTCTGGGAGTGTGTCTTTGGTGTTTGAAGCAGCTTTAAAAAACACCACGGCCCTCAAATAGTTGGAAGATTCAGTGGCTTCTACTTTAAAGTAGAATTGTAAGAAAAAAATTGTCAAGTTGAGTCTAGAAATGAAGGAAAGCCATGCCAATGATTATGGAAATCATATTTTAGTGACTTGAGGTCATTCCACGGTGTCCTTCAAGCACATAAGGATTTGCCTCTCAGTATCAGAATATTGGATTTCCTTGACCAGAATGAAGAGTTCTGTTGCTCTGAGAGTAAAAACTGTTTTTCCATTAAAATAAAATGAAATTTCTAGATTTTTGGTTGCCATTGCTGATCACACCACTGGCAGCAGTTGCCTTGAAGATTCCAGGCTCTAGGAAATTTTTTGTGCAGTCTCTGAAACAAAGTCTTATTTCCTAAGTTTGAGAGTCCTTTAACAGCTATTGTGCATTTATTTAGCCTTGCATATAAGGGGGGGTGGTGTAATTTTGTTGTTTTCCTACCTGATAGCCTCTAGATCTTAAGCCCAAATTTTAGGTTTGCAAGTAAAGAAAAAACACTGGGAAAAATAATTCAACTCATCTGTTATTAGCATATTCTAACTGTGTAAATCTACCCATAACATTTTTCTCTGTTACAAAAAGGTAACAAGCTTGCTGTTTTAAATTTTAGAGATCAGCTATGCCTTTAAATCAGCCAATATGAGAATAATTAGGATATATTCTCAAGTGGAAATTTGTAGTAAGTTTGGGGAGAGTTGAAACTAAGCATGTGGTTAGAGGTCTATGTGCCTGTGGTTAAAAAGTAATTAGAGATGGATTTATATCATTGAATAGATCTTCACTTTTTCAGAACTTAAAATACTTTTCTGTTTAGATAAGCCATCACAAAACTCAGAGAATGAACAAAATTCTGTAACTCTGGAAGTACTGCTGGTGAAAGTTTGCCACAAGAAACGAAAGGTAAAAATGATCTGACAAGTTATTAATATAATTAATAAACATTAAAGCAAAATGTTTAGCTGCTTCTAGAATATCTAAGTAACACTGCCTTATAGTGATGCTTCTGTTGAAATTAGCCTTTAAATTTAAGAACTAATGTATTCAACTTGTTTTCTATAGGATTTTGCACTGCTTTATGAGAAATTAGTTTCAAAAACAATTCAGTTTTGTTGATTGAATTCAGCCTGTACATCACATCCACTCGTGTATTTCAGCCACTTCTGGTTTTACCTCAGTTTTTGTGTCATCATTCAAGTTTTCATTCTCTTGTGATGTCCAGAGGCTTCAGGAAACCAGGCAATCACAAAATCATCAAGTAGCCTGTGCCTTTCAGAGTTTAGGAGTAAAAAGGAACAAATTGTAATTGTTTCAAATTCCTCAGTCATCTGCCAACACCTCTCTTCCCTTGCTTTTTCTGTACCTGTGTTTTTTACTTGATTTCAATTATTGCAGATTTTAGCTGCCATGAATCATAAGCAATTTTATATTTCTTTTTAAAGCATCTTTGAACTTGCTTGCAGTTTTAGCTGTACTTATTTCACATCAGTTGGCAAATTATTTCCCCAGCTACAAGAATATGGGAGGCTCAGAAATGCTTTAGGTTTTAACTAGAAAGGGAAAGATTTGCAGTCAGAGCTGTGTGTTCTGTGTTCTTTCCTAATGCTAGGCTGATTTGACAGGTTTTTAAGAATTAATACTGTTTCTATCCAATTTTGTTAATTCTTGTAGTATGGATAAATGTAGTGAGATCAGGAGGTGCTAATGGTTATTCCAAATGTTTTGCTGCAAATTTCATATTTAGGCCATCTTGTCTTGTTTTCCCAACTCTACACAATGTTCAATGATCTCTTTGAGAGGTAATTGAATATAATAAATCCTAGGTAAGTGGTTCTTTATCTCACAGATAGCACAAAATGCACTTTGAAATATTGCAAGAAGATAGAAAGCCTTTGAAAAAAATATGTATATAACCAAAACATTTAATTTCTTCAGGTAAACAGAATTAAATTAGTATTAATGACTGTTCTGCAATCTTTTTAAGTGCCTCATGTTAATGTTATTTTATTCACATAGAGAAAGATGTCTGCTGGCAGAAAGGGATATAGAATGCCAGTTTTATTTGCACTTAAAAATATCTGGGTTTGCATTTAAAATCTGGGATTGTTCCAGGTTTTTTTATTTATATCTGTTACAAGACTTATTATGAGGCTTATTTTCAAAAGTTGGCAGAACAAATGCAGTTTAGAAATGGCATCAATTTAAATACTTAATGTCTTTACTTTGAAATCTAAAAACCTGAACCTTATCTTTCTTGTTTTGCTGCAGGATGTCAGTTGTCCAATAAGACAGGTTCCTACAGGTAAAAAGCAGGTGCCTTTAAACCCAGACCTCAGCCAAATAAAACCAGGCAACTTCCCATCACTTGCAGTTTCCAGTAATGAGTTTGAACCAAGCAACAGCCATATGGTGAAGTCTTACTCATTGTTATTCAGAGTCACTCGCCCAGGAAGGAGAGAATTTAATGGACTGATCAACGGCGAAACCAATGAAAACATTGGTGAGTTCAGCCTTGAAATCTCCTTTTTAAATCTGAGGGTTTATTTGTGGGCACGTGTGGAGGTGACTGGATGAGCAGTGTGGGTCACACTAACATGGGCCAGTAGTAACTGAGTGATTGAGCTTTTATTTGTTTGCAGTCTCTTCTGAGATGGGGCTGAAAGTCAGCTGCTAGCTGGAGATTGTGCTTCTGGTTTTGTGTAAATTTGACAGCACTTGTTACTGACGTGATGCTGAAGGTGGGAGGCAGCACTGCTGGAATTGAACAGTGCAGGAGGGCCCTGTGGTCACTGAGGGTCCTCATTCCTCCACCAGCACTGGTCACTCCTGACTCACTGAGGCTGCTGTCAGTGTTTCTCAGCAAAACTGAATGACAAGCCAATAGAAAAATACCTCAGTAATAAATTTTTAAAAGTTGTTTTCTTAATCTTGTTGAGAAGTGTTACGACACAAATGTTGCAGCTTGGAGAGTACATGTGGAATGAAAAACTTTATTTCTCACTATTTTATAGCCACAAGAGGAGGAAGATCAAATCCCAAATTCTTATGCTGACAGAGTAATACAATGAAATTATAAATACACGAGAACACACCTAAAATATGATTACTGTTAAGCTAAGTGGTCTTTTATTGCATTGTCCTTCTCTATTGTATGGCACAATCAATAGCCAGTTATATTTGTGAGTGCATAGAGACTGTTGGATCTTCTGAGTCTGTGCTTATGTAAGATTGAATACCATAATTCTTCTGTGCAGATGTCAATGAGGAGCTTCCAGCTAGAAGAAAAAGAAACTCTTCAAATCGTGAGGATGGGGAAAAGACATTTGTAGCACAAATGACTGTATTTGATAAAAACAGGTAATATTGTAAAAAAAAAATATAGCTTCTATTAATCATTTTTAATCATCATAATATTAGAAATTTGATAATAAGCTTAGTATCTTCTTTGTTACAGTGTAGATTGTCTTTGGCTGCATTTTAGTTGTTATTTACAATAAGAACTTATGCTTATGTTTTTTTAAAAGAAACCCTATAGGTTTCATAACACATTTTATACTGAGACCTATTCAGTGACTACTGTAAATAATTCCCATCTGTGAACTTGAATATTGTCCTGGCAATTTGCATCTGTTTGTCTGTTCCTTGCCAGTTTTTGACCTAAATTCTCTGGCTCTGTTCAAGATCAGTGACAGCATAATTAAAAAGTTAAACAAAGAAAAGATCTCTGAAATTGCTGCTTACACTCTGAGTGCCATAATTTTTCCCATGCCCAGAGTGTTGCTGGTGTAATCACAGGTCTCATTCTGCTGACAGCTACAGAAGACATCAGTTCCCATTACTAGAGGACAATCAAACAAGTAGTTAAAATTGTAACAGGCCTACTCTGTCATGTACTTTAATTATTTATTATCATACTTGATGTATTTCAAGGAAGGTGGAGTGTGGTGAGCTCATGTGTCAATAGCTTAGAGCACTCTAGATCCAGTTCAAAAGATAAGGACCAGACCATTTCCTGGGTAGACATTTTGGTTGTTTGTGCTGCAAAAGATCATAGTGCCAACAGCCCAAATACAGTACATGAAAATAAGAATTGTTTCCATGGAAAGTGCAGGTCCCAGGCAGAGGTAGGTATTTACAAAAGTGGAGCTTGAAGAAAAACTCCAACTAATTCTGACAAAATGGTTGTTTATCCAATTAGGGTTTTAGAGGTATATTTTGAGAAGAATTTTGAAGAAATGTCCTTTTCTAATCTGTATCTTAGAAGTTTGACAGTATTTTGTTCTTTTCTATTACTTAATTGCACTGGATAACTTCAATATGCTTAGCAACATAGGAACCATTAGATGGTTTGTAGTGATGATAAGCAAGGACATTCTCAGGCATGCTGTTGTATGAATGAGTCTGATTTGCAGCAGAACCAAGTCATGCATAACATGTATATATTTTTGGTTTAGTCTTTAACATTTTTCTTTGTTATGTTTGCCTAAGATTTAGACCTAGTCAAATAAATTTGCCTGAAAATATGTCTTTAGATTCATGGAAATTTAATTCCTGTGAAATAGTGTATTTTAATAGACAAACAATAGAAGAGCCTTTTTACACTTAATCCATATTTTGTCTTGACAGACGCTTGCAACTTCTGGATGGGGAATATGAAGTGGCCATGCAGGAAATGGAAGAGTGTCCCATTAGCAAGAAAAGAGCAACATGGGAAACGATTCTGGATGGGAAGGTATGGATTGTTTTAGTGGCCAAGAAACCAGGAAATAATTCCTTTGGGAATGTATGGACATAATATTTTAATTTAGCTCTCAATTTAGAAAACTTTGGCTACACTGAATCATTAATACAAGCAGATGTCAACTACTGCAAGTATGGCAGCTGAGACTTCTGAATCCCTGACCTAGAAAATCAGGCAGTTTAAATGCTATTCTAACCAGTTAGACATATCAAAAAGGAGCAAACTGCAGAATATTTAATGGGAAGAAAGAGGAACCCAGACAGGTGTGAGGTTATGTACATAAGAGAAAGCTGATAAAATGCAGTGGTGAAAAGAAGAGGGTGTATGAGTGTAGGAGGAAGGGTTGAGCAGAGAGAAGTTGTTAACTGAGGTGAATCAACACTCAGTGATGCAGTGATTGTGTGTACTTACACAGTCATGCTCACATGGCCTGGGAGAGTGTGAGTTGTAAGTGATTGCAGAGAAGAACATGAAGATTCCAGATGGTTGCAAAGTATTTGTGTCTCAACATGATCATATAATTATGAAAAAAGCAGAGATGATCCAAATTATATAGTAAAAGTACAGTTATAAGCTCAACTATCCTGATCAGCCTCTACCTGCATTAAAATAAATCACATAAATTACATAGTTTATGTTCTGTGAATGTATTCTCCTGATTGTTTTTATGAAGACACTCAATTCTGCTGGTTTTTTTACTTCCCCCATTCTGCAGAGGTTGCCTCCATTTGAAACATTTTCTCAGGGACCTACACTTCAGTTTACTCTTCGTTGGACAGGAGACACAAATGATAAGTCTACAGCTCCTATAGCTAAGCCTCTTGCAACACGAAATTCTGAGAGCCTCCCTCAAGAAAACAAGCCCAATTCTGTTAAACCTACTCAGACTATAGGTAAGCAAACTTTGGTTTTGCTGCTGAATAATCATCTGCTCAACCCTTGTGTGCTTAGGACTCACTGGTGCAGCTGCTTCTGGTTATTCTCAGCAGGAAAAAGCAAAACTGAGTGGGCTTTGTTGTATCCCATATTTTGTCATTTTGTTAAGGTTAAAAGCTATACATCAGGACAATATTGAAGTGATTGTATACAATGCTCATAAAGCCTGCTGTGAAATACATTGGGGAAAATCCATCACTAGGATTTCTGAGATTGTCTGGTTTGCCCTACTCCAATCAGTGTTCTGTAAGTTTCTGGGTTTATAGGTGCCCTACTTTCAGGTGGAATAGAGTTAATTTTCTTCTCAGTGGCTGCTTTAGTGCTGTGTTTTGGATTTAGGATGAGAATAATGTTGATAATGCTGATGCTTTAGTTGTTGCTAAACAGTGTTTAGACTAAGTCAAGGACTTTGCAGCTTCTCACACCACCCCACTATGAAAGAGGCCAGAGGAGACAGAGCTGGGACAGACTGGCCAGAGGGATATTCCAAGGATGGCTTCATGCTCAGTATAGAAACTAGAAGGAAAATTGGCTTAGATGCCATCTTTATTTTGTCTCACACCCAGTTGTTTGTGATTTTGTATTAGAACCTTGTGTTGGCAAGTGAAGCTCAAGGACATCTGGAAAACTTGTACAGATTGCACCTGTTGTTTCAACACCTATGAATACACCCAGACTGTGGATTTATCTTTACTTCCTTGTACTAGGCTTCCTTGTATTTTAGAGTTTCTTGGAGACCTGTATTGTAATTTGTTAGGCAGGTTTTATGCTCAGACTTGCAAAAGAAATGAGAGTTGAGTTGACCAACTCGAGAAGGTGTGTGGGAGTTAACTGTAACAAATGTAGAGGCAGCAGGAACATGGCAAGACTGCATTGCCAGTGTAACCAGGAACCCATTTTTTTCTTCCATCAGAAAAGCTAAATGTTCCAGTAAATTGATAAAGTTATAGCCAAAGCAACCTTCCAAAATAGTACAGCCAACTCTTATGCACAAATGTATTGTAATGTGCAGCATTGTAGGGATTTGTTATGGTTGTGCTGTTTGCAGTGTCTGAATACCATGGGAGTGAAAAATGTACAAAACTTCTATCAGATATTCTGATCAAGATCCAGTTCATCTTTCCCAATGGGACATAAATTTGGTGTTGTCATTTTACTTTGGCATATTTCCCAAGGCAGACCAGTGAAATAAAGACATCAAAGACTTTCTAAATATGGCAGCTTAAACTTTGCTGTAATTACAAAGTTCTGAAAGTAACTGAGCCATGGAATTGGGATTTCTCTGATGTGGTGGAGGCTAAAGTGTCAGACGTCCTCTCTTTTTCATACAGACAGAAAATAAAATTTCCTTTCTTCTCCAAAATACTAAATATAAAATAAGTGCATCTTCTAAAAATTAGGTCAGTAGAGCTGAGCCTTTTTTTCCCATCTTTATCACCGTTCAGAAGCAGTAGGGTCATTGCTTGGTTTCTCTTGAGGGCAGATTTATAAACCTGCTTAGTTCTGTGGGGTTTGTCATTAACTGTGTGAAATCACATACTGTTATAGATTCAAGTGGATGGAAGAGACTCAGAAGCAACTAAGCAGTGCCATTACACATGCAAACAGTGTTCAAGGGTTAAAGTTGCAGTTAAATATTTTGTGTGTTTACTTCTATTTCTGCTGCCTGTTAAGAGACTTGTGGAACTTCTGAAATCGAATTTAAGTGATGTGTTTGAATGCAGCAATATGAAAGCAGGGATGGCTTTTATGTCCCAGCTTTTAGCCATACATAAAAAATTCTCTGCTGAAATGGAGTAAGAAAAATGTTGCTTTTTACCTGAGCATTTTTAAGTTCTCTGAATGATTCTTCAGCTCTTGGGATAATCTTGTGTTGGAAGTGGGCTTGCCTGTAGGTTTGTGAAGGAAACTGAGCATCCAGACTTCCTTGTTGCTGGTAGGGAGCTACTTATGTCCAAGGACATTCAAGTACCCTGTTTCCTTCAGCAGCAGTGCCCTTCTCAGCACTTCCATAGTTAGGTAAGAAACAATGTTTGTCTTTTCCTGTGCACCAAAGAAACGTGTGTCTACTTGTGGTTTTTTTCAGCTGTGAAAGAATCTTTGCCTACAGACCTTCAGACAAGAAAAGAGAGAGATGTTTTAAATGAACCTCGACAGAAGTTGCGAATATTTTACCAGGTATTGGAAATAATCATTAAAGGGAAAAACTAGAATCGAAATATTGTGTGGGATTAAAATGTTTGCTTGGGAGCTGGGTGGAAATTTCCATTTGCCCTTTTTGTGGATGCCTCAAAGAGGCTCAGATTCACAGACTGAAAGCCATCTCACAGACTCCTCTTTATGGAGGTATTCTAGAAAACATATCTTGGGGGCACATCTGATGTTCTGAAAGACAAAGGACATTCCTTGTTAGACTTCTTGAGGGGGACAGGTGGGTCTCCAATGGGAAACAAAATTCTTGAAATACCATTGTTTCAGTACACTGAGCTCATATAGTGTTCCCAAAATCTTGCTGTGGAGGTCTCCTGTAATGACATCCAGCTTAGTTTTGGGGGTTGGAAGTTAATGAATGAAACTCATTTGGTGCTAATTCTGCTCTGCCTGTTCTTTGTTTGCACCAGTTCCTTTACAACAACAACACGAGGCAGCAGACCGAGGCCCGCGATGACTTGCACTGCCCCTGGTGCACACTGAACTGTCGGAAACTCTACAGTTTACTCAAACATCTTAAACTCTGCCACAGCAGATTTATCTTTAATTATGTTGTAAGTAATCATTTTGTAGTTCAGCACTATAAAACTCTGTACAGTCTCTCACAGATGCTACAAAGGCAGGGATTCTGTTTCCAGCTTAGGAAGTTGTAGGGCTGTATCTACAGGTTAGAAGCTGCTTTCTGTGAATGTTTGTGTGTTATGTGGAGGGGAAATACTGTCTTTGTTTCAATATATGTATATTAAATAATGCTGACCACTGGAGGCTGAATTCTAAATGTAGCTACTGTTTTTGTATCAATGTGTTCTTTGATGTGGAAAGCAATGTAATTGTATTTGGTTGGAAGTCTCTTGAAGCTCTAGGAAATCTAGAAATGTTCTTACTAGCAGTCTTTTGCTGATACTTTACTTAATTTTATAATTAGTTTTGAGTGGTTTTATACAAAACAGTAAAATGGTACAGAGCAAGGAAGCTTTAGTGTAATTTGCTTCTAGAGGTTAAACATTATTTGGGTGTTGTGAAAGGAAACTTAATTGAGAAGTGATATTTAAGGTATTCAGAATTTGAAGGTCACTTGTTTAAACCTTTTGATGCATTGTCATTACTGTCTGCTGAGTATTTGATCTGTGCTGCAGTATCATCCAAAAGGTGCTCGGATAGACGTGTCCATCAACGAGTGCTACGATGGCTCCTACGCCGGGAACCCGCAGGACATCCATCGGCAGCCCGGCTTCGCCTTCAGCCGCAACGGGCCCGTCAAGAGGACTCCCATCACTCACATCCTGGTGTGCAGGTAGGGGCTGGCAAACAAGCTCTGTGTGGGGCACAGAATCAGCTCTGTGTGGGGCACAGAGTCAGCTCTGTGTGGGTCACAGAGTCAGCTCTGTGTGGGTCACAGAGTCAGCTCTGTGTGGGTCACAGAGTCAGCTCTGTGTGGGTCACAGAATCAGCTCCGTGTGGGTCACAGAGTCAGCTCCGTGTGGGTCACAGAATCGGCTCCGTGTGGGTCACAGAATCGGCTCCGTGTGGGTCACAGAATCGGCTCCGTGTGGGTCACAGAATCAGCTCCGTGTGGGTCACAGAATCAGCTCTGTGTGGGTCACAGAATCAGCTGGGCTGGAAAAGACTTTGGAGATCAAGTCCAACCTATAACCTAACACCACCTTAGCAACTAATCCACAGCACTGAGTGCCACATCCAGTCTTTTTTAAACACCTCCAGGTCTGGTGATTCCACCACTTTCCTGGGCAGCCCATTCCAATGCCCAACAACCCCTTCTGTAAAGAATTTTTTTGGCCTATAAACCAGATTTGTGATCCCTGGGGATTTGTGAATCTGCAGGTACATATGCACAGTGCTAAATTGCACTGTTACAACTAAATAAAATGTGACTGAAGGAGGATAACATCACCCATGATTTTTCTACATCTTTCCAGTTGAGATATCCATTCATAACAATGTAGCTCTCTTTAACTGCCTTACCCTAAAACTTTTCTTCCCCAAAAGGTGAAGTTGGAGGGTTGGATGAGGAGCTCTTGGGTAATGAGTTGTCAGTATTTGCCTCTGTGATGTGCTGGTGACAGCAGGGAGCTCCCTTGCAGGCCCAAGCGCACGAAAGCGAGCATGTCGGAGTTCCTGGAGTCGGAGGACGGCGAGGTGGAGCAGCAGCGCACGTACAGCAGCGGCCACAACCGCCTCTACTTCCACAGCGACACCTGCCTGCCCCTGCGCCCCCAGGAGATGGAGGTGGACAGTGAGGACGAGAAGGACCCGGAATGGCTGAGGGAGAAAACCATTACTGTAAGTATTCCCTTTGTGCAAAGTTATTTTAAGCGGATTGGGGTTTTGAAAAGATGATCTGAAGTTGTTTTAGGGAACAGTTGTGAAAATCCTGCATTTTGGGAGCAGAAAATTTTGCTGAACTACTGTTGATGGAAATTCCTGGAATCAAAGTTTGGTTTTTCAAGTATGCGTTCAGTTCGGTCCCCTTGTATTTGAACAAGTTTTCATTGTTTGTGGCTGCTTTTCTCCTTCAAAGAGGAGATGCTGGAATCAGGAGCACACAGTTTGGGCTGTATATAATAAGAATATTATTTATCATCAAAAGTCTCTACATCACATGACATTTTGCTAACTTATTTGACTGCAGAGGCTGAATTTTCTATATATATTTTTATGTGTAAGTTGAATTTTGGGTATGCTCTCACTACTTGGCAGCAGATACACAATTCTGATGGGTGTGTTTTTCTTTTCCTATCCTTCCTCCCAATCTCCAGCAAATTGAAGAATTTTCTGATGTGAACGAAGGAGAGAAAGAAGTGATGAAATTATGGAATCTTCATGTTATGAAGCACGGGTATGTTACTGTGCTTAGTTTTGATACAAATAAATTATAGTATAGATTTGGTTGATCATTTTGCATTGTAATTCACTAAATGCTTAAAATTCAGTTGGCTCAGCTGTTTAGGAAAGGGTTATTAAAGGATAATTTGTAATAAGCTTTTGAGAGTTTAAGCTTTTAAAGAAGTTGTGCCTAGTAGCATTTGGGCTTTGAAAAGAAAAAATATTGGACTGTGTAATAGCTGCTCTCTGCAGTTATATTGATAAATCATAGAGTATCTTTTTGTTTTTGAAAGCGTTCTGCTTGCATAATGATGGCTTTCTTATTTGACAGGTTTATTGCTGACAATCAAATGAATCATGCCTGTATGCTATTTGTTGAAAATTATGGACAAAAAATCATTAAGAAGAACTTGTGTCGAAACTTTATGCTCCACCTGGTCAGCATGCATGACTTTAACCTCATCAGCATCATGTCCATAGACAAAGCTGTGGCCAGGCTCCGAGAGATGCAGCAGAAGCTGGAGAAAGGAGAATCGGCGTCCCCGACGGACGAGGAATCTTCCGAGGAACAAAGTGGGACAGCAAATGGATACAGTGAAAATACCATGAGAGAGAGGATTTCAGAGGTGGAAAGCATCTCAGGTGTCACGAAACAGAGCAAGAAGCAGAAGCTCTGAAGTCAAAAGTCAATTGTCATTCAACGGACAAGCATTGAAGTGACATTCTAGGGTGCATGAGCTCTATAAAGAATTCCACACAGAAATACAGAGATTCCAAACAGGCACTGCTGGATGGAAATAAATGATTTCAACAAGGATATTGTTTAAACAGGGTTTTTATTCAGTTACTTATGCAAGTACTACATGTATATTGGTTTTGGTGATGTAATGACAATATTCTAAGAGTTTGAGCATGAAGAGCAATATAAAAATCTTTTTGTAATTTTAGTAATTAGTGTCTTAAGAACTTTATGGAATTTACATAATTTAAGTATATGTAAAACTGTTTTTTATATTAAGGTTTTTGCATCTGTATCTGGCTGTTTTTCCTACCATGAATTTGTGAAACATTAGGGAAAGGGGATTGGGATACAGTTTCTGCTTTTCTTATTTAGAAATTCTCCAGTTAGCTTTTTGTGAAAATAACGTCTGACTATTTGCAGTTTAACCTTGATCCTTGTATTTGAAATCATTTATCAATTGATCATAAAATACCAATCAATTTTTTTTACACTAAAAATTAGCAGAGTTGGCAAACTTAGCACTTCCTTTGTCTCGTGCCTGTTTGGAAAGATCTTGGCTTTTCACGTTCCAGACACAGTGAAGTACCACCTTGGCTTTTTGAGGTTTAACCAGCAGTTTGGGTTTCGTGGATAATTCTGATGTATTGATCGCCCAGTGTACCATTTTAAACTTGAACATTTAGCTCCTTTCTATTTTTATTACACATCTACACAGCTACAGAGAGGGTTTGGGTGCAGCCCCCTGTGCCTGGGGTCGCCCACCCTGGGTGCCATGCTAAGGCTGGAGCCTCGTGTCCGTCTGCAGGCGCTGCCCCGCCAGCAAAGCTCTCGCCTCAGCACAGACTGCAAGGCCAGGCCCTGGCTTTAGCTTTGGCTTTCGAGATGCCACTCTTGAGGGAAAAATGCACTGTAAAATTGGACCAGAAAATGTGTTGCACTTCTTATGTAAGTATTCTGTGATGTATTGTATTCAATACAGATACTAAGATGCTGACTAAACTATATTTGAGCAGTTTTGCACTGCTGTTAACACATTTTATGCATACGTTTACAGATTTTTTCCAATGGAAAGTGGTTTCACTACTGGTACAGTATCAGCACCGAAGGGTTTTATTCCAGCAAGCACTGTGGTTGAGTGACATCACCTCAATTTTTTATTATCCTTAAAATATTTCATTTTTCATATTCTTTATTTATAAAGGAACAATGCTGCTGTAAATACAGGTTTTTTTTGTTTTTTATTTCATTCCATCACCATGAAATGCAGTTCCCTATTTGTTGAAGGGGTATATAAGCTTTCTAATGGTGTCTTCAGAAATTTATAAAATGTAAATACTGATTTTGATGGTCCTTAAGATGTGTTTAACTGTGAGACTATTTAACTAATGGTGTGGATGTGATTTGTCATCCAGTATTAAGTTCTTAGTCACTGATTTTGTGTACAAAATAGGAAAGAGGGAAACTGCAGCTTTTCATTACAAACTCCTTGAACTGCCAGCTCTCTTGAGTTTTAGCAAACTCTAATTATGCCTCTGGATAGTACATCATGCATTTCTCTCTGGCTTTAATTTGCTAAAGCTGTGCACATATGTAAAAAAATAGATTATTTTAGGGGAGATGTAGTTCTAGAATTATTGCTTATGTCATTTCTTAAGCAGTTATGCTCTTAATGCTTAAAAGAAGGCTAGCATTGTTTGCACAAAAAGTTGGTGATCCCCCCAAAAATAGTAATGAAATTACTTCTGTTCAGTAAACTTTGTATGTCATGTCAATTTATAATAAAAGCTGAAAAAATCCCCTTGTTTTCTATTTATAAAGATGCATTTTCTATTTGTACCTTTGGAGATGCCATGTAAGCTGATTAAAAAGAATTTGAACGGTACAGTAGATGTAAAAACAAAGATACCCAACCCCCCAAAAAACCCTCAAAACAAGTTCAGCTGTTTAAATGAACCATTGTTTTTCATTAAATGTTTTATTTGAAATCAGCTTTTGTACAAGAAGTTCAGTAATACAAAATCTGCCATGATGGGTGTCCAGTCATTCCATGTGCAGACACCTCAAGCAGCACCTCTGGGAACTCCCTTCTGCATGGCTCAAAATTTGGATGTGCTCTCCTTTGTCAAATTGTTACAGCTCTGTTTAAGGTATCTCCATAAATCTCCATGGCTTTAGCCAGATTATAATAACTTTCATTCTCCTTTCTTGGGTAGGACTTGAATACCTGAGAAGGGTTTAAGTTGTGCTTTACTGTACAGAAATGTAATTTTTAGAGTGCAAATGAAACATTATTTGTGTTGTCAGTTACAGAATGAAGATTTGTGTAGTTTTTACATGCAAGTGGTTAATTTTTCAGAAATTTTACAGAGTATTTGGCTTAAATGGAGTAAAGTTTAAATAAGTATCAGTTTAAACCCCATTTCTCTGGGACTGCAGACGATGGATGGTCCAGGTACTGTGGGACAAGTCAGGAACTGACTGTGGAATGGCACACACGGGAAACCTTGTTGCATGTTAGGACTCAGATCCTGAAATGCAGGTTGTGCCAGCTGGGCTCTGCAGTGTGTTCTTGTCTCTCACATTGTCTGGGTTCTCCTGATCTTCAGTGTGCTCCTGACAGGTTTTAATGATGTTTGGTACTTGGTGATCACAACATGTTTGTGAGCCCCAGCCTGGAACCTAGTATGATTTGAATTTTTAATTCAGTGCATTAAACACTATATTCAAAAGTGCTAGATAAATTCTTAACCTTCAGTGTACATTGCTTGGAGTGTGTCTTGAATGTAGACCTTGAATTTTAGGGGCGGGGTTAAAACTTGCTGGAATGAAGCAGTTGCCCATGATTTGAAGTGTTCTGATCATTTATCAGATCAAGAAAACAAAACACCCAATCCTTACAATCTCCCAGACCAGACATTTAGTTTTACCTCTGGGAATTGAGGAGGCATTCAGTGAGGGCAATTTTGACAGTGTTGTTCCAAGTAAAAGGTGCCGTAAAGGACGACTGTCGTAAAAGGGGCCGTAAAGAGCGACTGTCGTGAAACTGCCGTAAAGCGCGACTGTCGTAAAGTGTCGTAAAATGAGCCGTAAAACGCGACTGTTGTAAAAGGTGCCGTAAAGCGCGACTGTCGTAAAATTGCCGTAAAGCGCGACTGTGGTAAAAATGTGCCGTAAAGCGCGACTGTCATAAAGTGTCGTAAAATGCTGTAAAGCGCGACTGTCGTAATACTGCCGTAAAGCGCGACTGTCGTAAAGTGTCGTAAAATGTGCTGTAAAGCGCGACTGTCGTAAAATTGCCGTAAAGCGCGACTGTCGTAAAAGGTGCCGTAAAGCGCGACTGTGGTAAAAATGTGCCGTAAAGCGCGACTGTCGTAAAAGGGGGCATAAAGCGCGACTGTCATAAAGTGTCGTAAAATGTGCCGTAAAGCACGACTGTCGTAAAACTGCCCCAAAGCGCGACTGTCGTAAAAGGTGCCGTAAAGCGCGACTGTCGTAAAACTGCCGTAAAGTGCGACAGACGTAAAACTGCCGTAAAGCGCGACTGTTGTAAAGTGTCGTAAAAGGTGCCGTAAAGCACGACTGTCGTAAAGTGTCGTAAAACTGCCATAAAGCGCGACTGTCGTAAAAGGTGCTGTAAAGCGCGACTGTCGTAAAATGTGCCGTAAAGCGCGACTGTCGTAAAACTGCCGTAAAGCACGACTGTCATAAAAGGGGCCGTAAAGCGCGACTGTCGTAAAAGGTGCTGTAAAGCGCGACTGTCGTAAAATGTGCCGTAAAGCGCGACTGTCGTAAAACTGCCGTAAAGCGCGACTGTCATAAAGTGTCGTAAAAGGTGCCATAAAGTGCGACTGTCGTAAAAGGGGCCATAAAGAGCGACTGTCGCAAAACCGGCCGTAAAGTGCGACTGTTGTAAAAGGGGCCATAAAGCGCTGCTGTCGTAAAGAGTGATGTAAGGCACGACTGTCGCAAAGAGTGATGTAAAGCGCGACATCTGTAAAATGGGATGCTGTAATGCCCTTATTGAGGACACTGCTTCTGCCACATCGAGGTATGCAACACACTGGTCTAATAATGGGACACACTGCCCACAACAGAGATCTCTATAATCAACTAAAGCCTTTTATCTGATCATCAAAACAAAACTCCCAATCCTTACAGTCCCCCAAACCAGAAATTTTGTTTAAACCTCTGGGAATACAGGAGACATTCTGTGAGGGCAATTTGACAGTGTTGTTCCAAGTTAAATATTTCTTAATTCACAGAAGTCTGGTGCCATCATCAGCGAGTGGAGCTGTTCCCTGTTACAAATCTGACTGTGGTTTCACATCCAAGAAAACAAAGGCTTTGGAGTAGGTAAGTCCATCCCTGACTCTGACCTGCAGTTTTCATGCTGTTCAATTTGAGAGTGAAGCTGCAGCTCTGGAGGAGAAACACTTGGCATCTCGTCATGAAGAAAGCTGATGTGAATGGAATATTTATGAGAGAAAGCTGCCAAGTCAGCAACTTCACTTACTGGTTTCACAAGCTGTTTTTCCTTTAAAAGAGACCAAAGAACTGAAACAGGGTCCAGGTAAAACAGAACTAAGGGAATGAAGTAAAGCTGTGTTAGTCCAACAGGGACTTTATTTGAAGGTGATTAAATCCCTCTGCTGCTGGCCAAAAACTACAGATGTGTAAGAGCTGCACCACAGAATGCACCAGTAAGAGATGGGAACAGTAAAATGGAGACAGAGACAAATCAGCTGGCATGGAATATTGAGGGAGGCAGCTCAGATGCTGTAACAAATTGTATTAAAAGGGAAAAATATTTTTTACAGAGATGTCAGTTAAAATAGGGACATAAAGGTAAGTGCATAGGTGGGAAACATGCAAATAAATTGGGACTTCTGAGGGACAGAAGATTAAACAAATGAGTAGAAGCTCTTAAAGATGGCTGCAATGCTCTAGAAGACAATTCTTATCTTGTTAGAATGCTGTGGTGCTCAGCTTTATGCCTCAATAAATAATTTTCTAGACCATACACAGTTGAGGGATAAAACTTTTATTTAAAAAAATTCAAATTTCTCTTGACACATAAATCTTAGTTGAGGTAAGTTAATGTACTAGCTTAGGAAAACAACTTTCAGGATTGGGTTTCATAAGCCATTAACACTTTGTTGCTTGCAGGGCTCCAAGAGCTAGAGGTGCAAATTGTAAAGGAAGTGTCAAGTTTTCCATCCAGCTGACCTCTGCTGCAGAAGAACAGAATTTTCACCTTTTAGTTCAAGCCTCTTCCGCCTCCTTGCATCCTTTGTTCCTTTGGTGCTCGGGTCTCTTGCCCTGAGACTCTTCACTCCTCCTCTGTTCACAAGGTGCAGCTCCAAGAGGTGGCTGAAAGTACCTCATTGGCAATTTGGACAGCGAGGCTTGTGCCAAGTTCAAATAAAAAACAAAACCACCACAATAACAAAAGAACCATTGGCAAACTGCCTTCGTTCAACACACAGCTAAAGCCTGAAGGCAGAAAAACTTCTCATGCCCTCCCCAGCTCTCCAGGCAGCAGTAGGGGCCTCTCAAGGCCCTTCACAGTCATCTTCAGCTGCTTTTATGAATATTCTGAACAACCTGACACGGCATTGCCACCTCTGGAAGTACCTGAATTCAAAGTTTAAGCTTTATTTTCTAATATGTAAGTAAATATCCTGAAGAATCTATAGTCTGAGCAGCCCCTCCAAGAGCAGATGAAAAGGTACCTGACCCATTGGTACCTCAGGAGTGTGGATATTCACAATTTTACTTTCCATATGGTAGAAGTACTAAGTTACAACTAGTACCTGATACCTGAAGTGTGTAAGTAGAACTGCCAGCACTACTACATGGAGCAAGATCTAAGTCAGCTGCTGTCTGGAGTGCCTGTCCAGCCCTCTGAGCAGGACTGACACTTTCAACTACTGAACCTTTATGTAAAGGTACTGAAAACACTCTTCACAGGAGAATTGAACATTGAAAGCACAGGATATGCCAGTATTCTCTTTTTCTGTAACACTGAACTAGTGAAGCTAGAAAAGCCAGGAGTTCTGCAGGCCCTCTGTGGCTAACAGTGGATGATCTGACCTGCAGCAGCTCAGTCTTCCTCACTTCATTGTCTTCCTGCCCATTCCACCCCAACTCTGCCTTGTGCAGGTTCTTTGCACTCATCTAAATGCACACATTTTTTTCTCCTGTAAATGGTATAAATACCAACAACCATTCTCCTTGTCTGAAATTCTTGTACCCCTGCTACAGCTTCTTGGGGAAAATTCAGGCAGGGTGGCTGATATTTTTGTACTGACAGTGTGAGTATGGGCAATGTTAATTAATTGTAAAATAAGCCTTTAAGCTTTAAACTTATTATAGTAGCATAGAGGGCTAATGTAGCACATTGCCACTGAAGGAAAGGCAGTATGATTGTCTAGGCTTTATAAAAATAGTGCTACTCTAACATGATAAAATATATTTAATTTTAATTGAACTTGAGGTAAGCCCATCAGTGAATGTTACTTTTAAATATTCCTTAAATCCAGTAGCATTGCAATCTTTTGACCAGGAATAGGCTCTCTTTGAGACTGAGCCTATCCATCTTAGTTGCTCCTTAGAGGAAAAATGTGTAACTTTACATAACTTCTGAATTCCAAGTAATTTAATTCACACTATTATTTATCCCATCTTACTCCATGGAGGAGACACCTTAATTACCACCATCTCTTCAATTCTGACTGCCCCAGGTTAAATCTGTGCAGGCAGGGCCTGCCTGAAGCCCACCCAAAGCCCATCTCCCTCCCTGCAGGTGGAGCAGCAGCAGCTGCAGTCAGGCTGCAGGGCTTGGGCCATGCACCTGCACTGAACAGGTTCTCTTGGACACTGAGCCTATGCAGTCCAGTGTCCCCAGGCAGAATCTGGGATTGCCAGGAATCCTGCACATCACAACATCACCTGTGTTGGCACACAGTAAGAGAAGGTTGTCTCTGAGTGTTAGAAGGGCTCTGAGGAAGCACAGCTGCCAATCCACAGGGTGAGCTCAGGTACCAAATCACTGAGACTTGCTCAGACACAGGCTCGGTGTGAATTGTAACAGGGCAGCCATTCAGGGAGGCTCAGGATCACATCCTGCTCTGCCTTGGTCTGCTTGAGGCAGCCGTGCATGGCCAACATCAGCATCACCATGCAGCTACTACAGAAAACACATTCCAAGTGACAACACAGAAAACAGCTCAAGAAGCATGGAAATAAGGCACTTAGGTGAGACAGGAACAGGCTGGCTCCCTGCGAGCCCAGGCTGGCTCAGAGCTCCCTGCTGCAGAGGGATAACAGTACCGTGCATGAGGAGGCGGCTGCTGCAGGCAGCCCCGCTGCCCACACAGACCCCTAAGGCAGCATCTGCACAAGGAAGCACAGCAGGACCTCACTGCTCTAAATACTGTGCTCTGAGTGGCAGAAATACAACTTTGGTCCATTACCACCCCTAAAACACTCATTTCACAGAGCAGCAGCTTTAAGCAAAGTTAATTCTACACAACGCGCGTACCCTGAGACGAGTACAATGAAATACTGACAAAAATCAAGTCTAGAGGAAAAAAGGGAAAGGTATGATGGACTGCTTAAATTAATTTGCCTACAAATGCTTGTTTCTAGCTTTTCTGGAGTAACAAATCCAATGTTTCACAATTATTGTTTAAATGAATCCAGTATGAAGTACAATATAGTGGAGTTCAAGTACTATAAAGACAGGGGTTTGTTACCAGATTGTTGTCAAACAGCTGGAAATTCAGCTATTAACTTTACAGCAAGAACAAAAAAATCCCTTTACTCACTGCTAAAAGACCAAAACCTTCCAGCCAGGGTATGAAAATGAACATCCAAAATACAAAGAGCCACAGCACTGATCAAGTACCCAGTCAAAGACCACTTCTCTGTTGTTAGAGCTGATGGTTACTCGAAGCTTAAAGTTTCCTCCCTCGTTGCTGCAGGGTCCAAACTGCACAACTTCCATGTCAAATGTCACAGTGGAGCCAGAAGTAACAGCAGGCAGCTGATTTGTCATCTCTTTTCCATTTACAAATACTGCCCCTGAAACAGTCAGCAGATCTAACAATATTTCTCATTTTCTGTACATACATCTCTCTATTTTTTGCAGGCAAATAGGGAAGTAACCCTGCTACATTTGTCTTGCCACATGGACCAGGCTGCAATAACTGCTAGCAGGAATAGATCTGTGATCTCACCAAGGATTTTTAACTGCACAAGCAGCACATACATGAAAGTTGCTCATGTGTCATGTAGGGATCTAAAGAGCCAGGGGCTGTGGGTTTTGGGAAGGAAAATTTCTCCCTGGATCAGGAATAATGTGGCCAGCAGGAGCAGGGAAATCATCCTTCCCTTACACTGGGCACTGGTGAGGGCACACCTCGAGTGTTGTGCCCAGCTCTGGCCCCTCAGTTTGGGGAGGATGTTGAGATGCTCAAACACATCCAGAGGAGGGCAATGAAGCTGGAGAGGGGCTGGGAACACAAAAATCCTGTGAGGAAGCACTGAGGGAGCTGGGGGTGTTCAGCCTGGAGAAAAAGGAGACTCAGGGGAGACCTTATCACTCTCGCAGCTCCTGAAAGGTGCCTGTGCTCAGCTGGGGCTGGGCTCTTTCTCCAGGCAGCACTGACAGAACCAGAGGTCACAGTCTCAAGCTGTGCCAAGGGAAATATGGGTTAGATATTAGGAAATCCTAAGTTTTTTACAGAAAGGGTGATAAAGTTCTGGAACGGTCTGCCCAGGGAGGTGGTGGAGTCACCACCCCTGGGTGTGTTTAAAAGGGGACTGGATGTGGCACTGGGTGCCAGGGTTTAGTCGAGGTGTTGGGGCTGGGTTGGGCTCTCTGATCTTTAAATTCTCCTCGCAGCAGGTGTTAGAGTGGCTCTGTGGCCCAGACTCACCGTTGGTGCTGACGCACACGGCCTGGTCCCGCTGCAGGGACTCGTCGCCGTTGCGCTGCTCCGCGCACACGCCCAGGCTGTCCCGNGCCCAGGCTGTCCCGCCGGTCCGGCTGCCCCACGGTCTCAATCCTAACAAACAAAAGGTTAAATCCAAACCTGAGACTTTAAATCAAAACATACCATGAAATCCAGACAGTCACTCCAGACCCCTGTACTGTGCTCCAGGGCTCTCAACATTTCACACAAACTTTTGGGGAGATCCCTGGTGAATGACAAAATTCCCACCAGCTTTCCCAAGAGCTCCACTGAGCAATACTCTATTAATCTGTACAAAATATGAAGCAAATCTTTGCTTCCTGCAAACTTCTAGTGCTATTTAATAAATTCTCCACTGTCACAGCTTAGAAATGACCTTTCAAAATGATTTCCAGTTGTCTGAAGCATACAGTATGCTCAGCTGGACCATCAGCTAGCTATACCACACTACTGGTCAGCATCATGTATAATGGCAAGACAGCTGTAGCTTCAGCAGGGATTTAATAAGCATGACTGAAACAGGTTTTTTGGACCCTGGTATATTCTGCTGTAATGGGATGAGGATGGGGTGTTGCTTTGGGGTGTATTTGGTTTGGGCTTTTGTAATACATCAGCCTGGTGCAAACCCAGCAATGCCTAGAGGAGCATTTACATGTCTGGCCTCTGCTCAGTTGTATTTAGAGTTTTAGTCTGGGGAAAGAATCTCTGAAGAAAATGCAAACAAGCTGTGCAAATGACCAGGGATTCAGTTCCCTGTGGGCCCCAGCAGAGGAGTGAGGCTGCACAGCTCATACACTGAAGGGCTGTTCTGGACTTGAGTCCCTTCTCTTGTACTGCCACCTCTCAAAGGTGCTAAATCCTGCTTTACAGAGAGCCTGAGTGTCTCAGGTCTTTTCTAGAAAGTAAAGCAGTTGTTATTTTCATTGCAGTTTGAGAGAAAGAACAGACTGATCTTTGGTTGTTGGCAAACAAAGGAAAACTTCAGCAAAACTTTAAAGAAACAGCAATTAAAGGGGACAGTGGACTGGAACACAATGGGTTAAATCTTTAGAGGCAAAGATAAAATTGGAACCATGTTTTACTTTTGCACTCCATTAGGTTTTCAGTCCCCCGAGAATGGCACTAAGAGCAATAGCCCTACGCTGTAAAGCAAAGGAAAAACAATTACTTGAATCTCCAAGAAGCTTTTACTTTGGAAGGGATCCACCATCTTTTCCCAAAGCAACCCTAAAGGAGATTTCAAATTCATTTTGGTGCACAACAAAAATGCTGCACAGCAAAACCTTGTCCCTGTCCCTGCAGCCCAGACACTGGGCCTGGTGAACCCCCCCAGTTTCCATTTGCCCCAGAGCACAGAGAGATCCATCCATGGTCCATCCATGGGCACCACAGGCACTGCCTCAGCCATCAGCAGAGCTGTGCTGGGCTCCTGACAGAGTGTGAGCAGCACAGGGCATCTGCAGGGTGAGCCCAGATCACTGTGTGCCTGCCCACAGCAAAGGAAGCTTTGGGGAGATGAAGGAGATCTCACTGTGGAGAGATGTTCCCTCCCCAGGGCAGCTCCCTGGAGGCTGCAAGGCAACAGGAGGAGACCTGACCTAAAGCAGAGATGTTTTCCTACAGCTTGGCCAAATGCTTCACCTCAGGACAACTGCCACAGTTTATCTTTAAATGTAGACACAGAGCACTGTGTTTATCACAACTTCACTGCTCACTGACAAGCTGTGCCTGGGTGCTGAACACAGAGAACACAGAGCTGCTTGAGAATAACAACTTGTGTTCCAACAGCTGGAGAAAGTCAAGCACCAAGTACTGCATCTCCCAGCCCAAGAAAACCTCTCACACTTCCAAACAAGAAGCTACTCTTGGACCTTGGAAGAAGAACAAAACCAATTTTTGAGGTCTCCAATCTCAAGATTCGTGTCACGATAGCTCTTGTGGACACGTGCTTGTTTGAGCTCTGCCATCCTGAAACAATCAGGATGGTTATGGACTTGGAGAGAAGTCCATAACCAAAATGTGAAGCAAAACATTTTCATATGCTACCAATAAAAAAGATAAAAAGCACTGGACTGAGAGAGAACCAAGGGAAACCTCAAGGTTCTGCCTTTAATTTCACAGGCATTGCTGAGCCAAGAGAAGTTAAATCTAGCAACAGATTTCAAATGAAAGCTTTAGATCTTTTTATCCAGCTCAGACAGGGCAACTGAATACATCCTCACACTACAACCATCTAAAGTTAACATAATCCATTATCAGGAAGGGATAAATGAAACACCATGGAATAAGTCATGAAAGTAGCATGAACAGCCCTTTTCAATTGCCTGAGGGGGCTGCCTGCTGTACAGCAAGTAGTTTTATTTAACCAGGGAAAAGATTAAACAAAGCTTCAGAGTCTCTGAGGTCTGTAATCACAACTGACATATCCACAAGGACATTCCTCATACTCTGTTAAACAGCATCATCTCAGGGATAGGATGACAGGCAGCAAAGCTGCCAAGGTTTTTAATCATTTTCTGTGTCAGATGGAAAGCTTGAAATTCACAAGATCGCTTCTCCACTCTGGATCTTCTAGTGCCAGTTTCAAGCAGTTGTCTGACCAGCACTAATTATCGCACATGTCAGAGGCATTGCTGCCATCATCCCAACAGCACATCAGTGTTTTCATGTCAAAGGCTTCAGAGCCAGTGATCAGTCTGGGAAGGAAAGCACCCCTGACCCAAGGTTAAAAGGAGCTGGAGGCAAAGCTCCACTGACTTCAGCCAGTAACAGCTGCTACAAAACATCAGGAAGTTCAACATTCCACAGATCTGCTCAGCATGACCTATATTTTACCATCCCTCAGGAGTTCACTCACTTTTATATAAGTGCAGGTCCTACAAAAACATCAGGTGTTTTCCTACAAAGCCAGGAAGCAGAACTAAAGGAAGGTCAGATGTCACACAGAGGCACTACCTGGACTGGAGCTGAGCTGATTTACAACTCAAACGTGCCTCAGGCTCACACACAACTCAGACGTGACAGCTCACAGGGGATGCACCAGCCACCCAGAAAGGACTTGCCTGAATGTTAAAGTCTGCCCACAGAAATAGGTGGGAGCTTTGGAGTAGAGCACACCACAGGACTGAGAATCATTCCGGAGCGCTATGTTTCTTCGGCTGCTCAAGCTGTAACCCTCCAGACCAGCTGTCCATTCTTCAAAGAAAACAAACAAAAAAAGCAAGAAAATTGTGAACCTCAACTTGGTCCTGTCTGTGCCAAATCAAGCCAGTCCCAATGTCTACTCAGTCCACCTCATGCAGCTTAAGCTATGTTAAAAGCAGGGGCTGGTTTTGCCTTTTTCTTATGGAGAGATTTGTTTTTCAAACAAATTGCAATTACAAAAAGTATTTTCCAGCTCAGAGTTCACCAGCAGTTCACTCTTTGCTGCAAACCCTGCCAAGTCTTATTGTAAGAAAAGGAAAGCCTTCATTACCCACTGCACTTAGGAATTTGTAAGTAAAGAGAAAATTTAAATTTTCCTCTCTCCAAGATGAGAGCTTGTTATGAGCTGTAGTGTAGGAACGTCAGGGGTAGGACGGTGGGGATGGACGGAGATGAGAGATCTCTGCAGCCAGGGCTGGAACTTGGGGTTTATTGCAAAGGATAAAGGATGGGTGCAGGGCCCTGCTGGAGCTGCAGCCACAGCTCAGAGCAGGCTGAGAGAAGAGAGGGGGAGAGAGGATGAGAGGGTGAGAGAGTAAAAGGGTGAGAGAGTGAGGTTCCCATTACAATACAATAAATCATCTTCTGTGTTGAATATTCTGATTCTCACTAACCAATCTAGTACAAGATGCAAATCCTATAGCATTTACACACAGCCTATAAGAATCATTACATTACCACACTGTGTTAAATTTTAAACCCTAAAAACTCCTCTTTGGCCCCTCCTGCCAAGCTGTAGGGTCTGCTCTGACCCTTGGAGCTGTCTGCAGGCAGAGAGTGTTGTTCCATCAAAAGGGGATCACCTTCAGCAGCCACACCATTGTTTTCCAGTTGTTCAGTAACTGAGGGATCTCAAAGCTTGCTTTCATTTCAATCTCGCTTATAGTTTCTATATTCTCAAAATCTTTTGCCAGGACTTTTGCCAGACAATCATATTTATAAGGCTTTCCTGTTTCATTTTCCCCAACACTGTAGGTCATCAAGAATCCTTATGTCGTGGTGAGGGAGAAGAAAAAATAATACTTTCCTCCTGGCTGACATGCTTTCTAAGGGTAAGGAAGCAGCAAGCCACCTGGCCAAGGCTCACTGAGTGTCCCTGGGCCAGGGAAGCTGGGAATGCAGAGTGGCACAGAGGGACAGCCCAGAACGTACTGTGGGACACAGGGACAGCTCAGGATGTGCCGTGGCACAGAGGGACAGCTCAGGACGTACTGTGGGACAGCTCAGGACGTACCGTGGGACACAGGGACAGCCCAGGACATACCGTGGGACACAGGGACAGCCCAGGACGTACTGTGGGACAGAGGGACAGCTCAGGACGTACCGTGGGACAGAGGGACAGCTCAGGACGTACCGTGGGACAGAGGGACAGCTCAGGACGTACCGTGGGACAGAGGGACAGCTCAGGACGTGCCGTGGGGCACAGGGACAGCTCAGGATGTACCGTGGGACAGCCCAGGATGTACCGTGGGACACAGGGACAGCCCAGGACGTACCGTGGGACAGAGGGACAGCCCAGGACGTACCATGGGACAGACGGACAGCCCAGGACGTGCCGTGGGACAGAGGGACAGCCCAGGACGTGCCGTGGGACAGAGGGACAGCCCAGGACGTACTGTGGGACAGCCCAGGACGTACCGTGGGACACAGGGACAGCTCAGGACATACCATGGGACAGACGGACAGCCCAGGACGTGCCGTGGGGCAGAGGGACAGCTCAGGA